AGAGCAGAAATGCATAAGCTTCTTGAGGTGTTTGTAAGAGCTTACCTTTTTCCCTTGGATTTTGACTTAAAGATGTTAGCAAGTGTAACTGCTAAATCCCTGTAAAGTGTAGATGGACAATGGTGTAGAAAGAGAAGGTAACTTGTAAAAAATAATTCCAATTAAAGTTCAGGTGAGTGTACTGCTAATTTGAAAATGTCATGGAGCTGCCAGTTACTTGGAATTAGCCTTTCAGAAGCACCATCAGCTCGAAATCTTGTCCTAAACTTAGTTTTTAAATTCAGGTATGCTCATAAAGATATGTCTCTACTCTTCAGCATACTTCATTCAGAGATAGCGTAGTCCAGTCTGAGACTTTGGAAATGGAGGTGGCTTTTCTCTGAAGAAGAGTGACTTGATAAGGATTTTAACCCTGTGTTTTTCATCCAGGTAGAAACTGTTCCTTACAGTATCTTTAGACTGTCCATACTTAGCCTTCTACATGCTTACTGAGAGGAAAAAAGGAGAAATGTATTAGAATCAATAGTGTTTGAGTTGCAGGGAATAACTAATTCCAGGATCTTGCAGGGATTGTAAATATAACCAGAACTTTGAGGCTAAATTCGGAAACCTCAAAGAATAGCTGCTTCTTATTCTGTAATATGTTTTGTAGTAGTCAGCTATTTTCCTGTGGCATTAAGCAAATTTCATGATAAAATTAAAATAATTTTAGGAGAAAACCATGCCTCTCAAGGTATGCTGAATGTTGGACATGGCTACAGATCCTCTAGCCTTCTATTGCCAGCTTGGTGGGGCATGTAAATTTATGTAGATCATGCTCTTCCTTTAGCAACTATGCTTCCTTTTGCTTGATTGTTACATTGCCTGTCAAAGTTGTTCTGGTGGTTGCAAATTATACGTTCTTCCTCACTGTCACAGCACACAATAACAATACTATTGCTCTTGGAGGCAGCCCTTAATGGGGTTGGAATTTTTGTGCTGTAAAACTAGGCTTTTAAGATCACCTGTAGCTCTCATATCTCTTGCACAGTCTCTTTATTCCAGCTATCTTTAGTTGACAATTCTACAAAATTTGGCAATGGTTGAGTGTTGCTCTTGGATGCATCAGGGATTATGAGAGGCTTGTGATCTGGAAATTTGGAGAGGAGTACCATGTCTTTGTGAGCCAAGGGCATGGACCAGGATGTCTGACTGGAACTAGAGACTTCTGCTGGGGTTTAGTGAAGTCACATGACTGAACTTGGGATATAGTTCTAAATATTGTCGTTGCTGCTTGTCTTTGAACACACATATGGCTACCAAAGCATTGGTCAGAAGTGGCTTCTCCGAAGTGCAGAAATGTTGCAAGGGGGAAGGTTTGGCTGGGACCAGCTAGGAGTTGTACTTCCTGAGGTAGGGGTGTAAGCAGAGGTGACAGAATGGCCTGCTGATCAAATCTATACAACTGATATGGAATAGGGCTGCAGAGACTCCAGAGGTATGGGGTTTGGATGCCTGTATTTTCCTTTAATTTCTTTCTCAAAGTTTTAACTTGTGTTGTTTGTCAGGAAATCTGCTTTGCACTGTGCAATGGCTGTTCCTCCACCAGTACCAGCTTTGTTAACTTGGGTGAATGCATCATGAAGGCATGCAAATAATCCCTAAAAGCTGTTTGCCAGCTTTAGGATTATAGTTCTTTTGATGTATACTTTATTTCTGTGCTTCAGAACTTCACTTCTGGAAGCAACAAACTCTTTAACTGTCTTTTTCCTGGATTTCTGAGAGCTGAGTGATGTTCAGCTATAATAAACTCTAGTAGTTTTGTATTCAGCAAATGGAAAAGCAAGTTAGTGGTTTACCAGAATGTTGGGAGACAGTGTATGTATACAATTGAGGTATGTGTATATCTCATCATGCACTGCTCCTGAACTAATAACTGAAGTTTCCAGAGTTCAGTTAAAGTTTTGTCAATGATGTTTTGTGTATTACTCTGTGCATCCATTGTAATGCTTTCTTTTAAATCCAGGTTTAAAAAACGAATGCTGATAGAACAGCTTGAGAGTTTTCTGGAAGAAATCCATCGCAGATCCAATCAGGTCAACCATATCAAGAGCAGCTAAGAAACTGCACATGAGAGAGCCACAGCAGGGCACTGCTGTTCTTACTTGCATTCATTTTTGACATGCACTCTTATCTCAAGTTCCTGTACCTGAAAGAATGAGAAGCTGCTCAATAAAGTGATGAGAAGTATCAATCATCCTTTTTTTTTCACTTCTGTTATTTTTGTAATGTGAAACATACTACAGAAACATTTTTATTTAACTAAATTGAGAACTTCTTGCTTGTCATGGACATAAGTGTCACTTGCCCTCAGGTTCTATTTTTCTTAATCTTACCTTCAAAACTATCACCTCTTAAGGTTGAACTTTGCCAAAAAGTTGCTTTGTAATTTTCAAAAAGTAAAAAGCACATACATTAAACAAGGTAATGTTTTGTATATACAGTTATTTTGGATATATTATTGTAAGTTGTATAAATGTATTTTGAAAAATATTTAAGAAAAGCACTTTTGTTATTCCATCAATAAAATCTCTATTTTAATCTTTGTGTAGGTTTGAGTATAGTTTTTATCAAAATTATTTGTTTTGCCTTCCCTTTCCAGAGTTTGTGTTCTGGTATCTGTGTTAGAGACTGAACAGTGGGTATGTATCACTGGATGTTCTGCTCTTAATCAGAATGAGGGAAAAAGAGCTAATACTGAATTGCAGCTACAGTAGGATATCTTGTGTACTTTGCACTTTTGGTGGCCAGCATAACAAAGTGATGTTTTGTAAGCACGTCTGTAGCCATGAAAAACCCTGTGGTTTTATTGAGGGATACAGTGCAGTAAGCAGGGGTCAGTAGCCTTTGAGGAAGGCTGCACAGAGGTTTTCTGTGTCAGAGGATTTTACGGGTTTACAAGTGTGGGAACAGCCACAGAGTGCTTCTGCCTGGACACAAAATATCATTGATTGCTTTACTGGCCACATCTTTCAGCTGTGCTGGATACTCTGGGTTATCTGCAAGGCTTTGTTTGATTCAGTGGGAGCTGATTAAAACAGTCCTCTCTGATGCTTTTCTTGGGAGTAGTGGTTTGCTGTCTCCCCGCAAAATCTTTATGGACCTGGGTTTCTGATGCTTGTGCCATGAGTTGCTGAACACATGCCATATCCCAACTTTTGTCAGGATGCTGAAAAGCAGCCCCCATTTTTCATGATGCCAGGAGTCACATTCAGTGTTTTCCTGGAATGTCTGTTCTATGTTGTGTATGCTTCAAAGGCAGTAGAGGTAGTGCTGCTGTCTCTTTTAGCACTATTTGTTTGGTCACTAAGTGGGTATTTCTGCTTCTTACCTGCTTTGTCAAGAGCAGGCTGCCCCTGGCACATGGTAGAATCACCATCCCTGGAAGCGTTCAAAAACCATGTAGGTGTGGTGTTTAGGGACTTGGTTAGTGGTGCATGTGGCTGAGTTAATGGATCATAACCTCTATGATCTAAGAGGTTTCTTCCAACCTTAATGATTCTATGATTCCGTGTCAGTTTTGAAAATGCCTTTCAACTTCATTTTCTTTTCACAGCGTTTTGCTGCTTGCTTGTTATCTTCTATGTCAGCTGGGTTATAACTGTCTGTGGTCAGGCTGAATTTGTTTTACTCTTAAGCTTTGGACTTCAGGACAAGGAAATGAAATTGTGCTTGAAAAATAACATGACAAAGCTTTCTTGTGGGTTGTTTTCACTCAAATCACCTACATAGTCAGCAACAGTCAGGCTGACTTTAGCCGTGATAAAGTTGAAGAGAAGCTGTTGGCTCATATTGTTAAACATTTAGGAGGCTAAACCTGTTCCATTTTTTTGCAGATGTTTATTTGGACACTGTCTTTGCTGTAGTTGTGGTACTGATGATTCCTAGACAGCTCTAAGTTTCAACAGTGTCTACAATGTAATAAGGTAGTGGTGATTCTTGGAAAAGTGATATGCTTAAAACTGTGATTTAATAAATACATACAATGTAGCCTTTAATTTCATTGGAGGAAAGTTCATCACAGGAGGAGCAGAAGTCAGTATATGCATTTAGTGCTTATGATGAAGGATTTGTCACTCTTCCTATAAAAAGTACTGAACCTGTAAATGAAAACAGTATTAACATTATTTGAGTTTGGGGCCACATTTTCTAGGTGCAGTACAGTTTAAATACATAAGTTAGGCATGGAGCTAGCAGAGCATAGAATTGTTCACTGTATGGAAAAACTGGCTGCAATTGCATGTTTGTCATAAAATCAAAACATTTCTGTATTAAAAGCACCTTTCCAAATAATTGGTAGCCCAAACCAGGAACCTGCCAAAATCTGAAGCTTACATTGAGCAAAACACAACCTAAGTTCTTTGCTTTGTGTTCATATTTTAGTTGCAGAAGAGAATGAAATGACTATTTCAGATTGACTGGATTTGTTTGGTTATTTGCAATGTTACCTTACCTGTACTTCAAAGGGAATGTGCTTAAATCTGAAATTCAGATTTAAAAACTCTAAAATTTTTCAATTATTTTGAGCAGAACTGTGCTATTTTAAGTATTGGAAAACATATTTCTCCTATTACTTGAAAATTGATGCAACAAATACTTTTGGTCTACATAAAGATTCATGAAGAATTTTATGGGCATAGAAGTTTTAAGCACTTTTAGACAGGTGGATGAAAAATAGATCTTGTTTACCTCTTCAAGTTTTCCATACCTCAAAAACTTGAATCACTAAGTCTGAGCAAATGAAATGACTGAATATTTTCACTTTTTGCACTAAAAAGCTTGAATTACAGAAATTATTTTTAATTTTGAGTTGATTGGAAGGTATGTAGTTTATGCTTCACATAAAAATCCTGTTTTACAGTCTGATTTCCTTCCTCTTTATATAATTTATATATATTGTAAACTGACCATTTTATTCACCAAAGTAAGTTTGTTCTTAATCCTAAAGAGTCTGTGGCTCATGTTTCACAGGTGAGCTTATTAATGCCTTTTTATTTTAAAATTCTCTATTTGCCAAGTAAAATACTTTTATTCATTGACTGGTAGTGATTGCCAAAGCATATTTAAAACAAAATTCCAACCAAGGCAGTAATTTTCTCTTTGTGTGCTTGCACTGTGGTCAAAATTAATGATATGGGTTTTTAGAACAAAATGTTACACAGGTATTCACTGACTAAGAGAACAGTGTGTGTTGCTTGGAAGCAGATAAGGGAAATTATTTCTGTCTTTGTGCTAGGCCCCAATGTTTTACTGAACCCTATAAATATCTGTATGTTCCTTGAAGGTCCAAATGACTGTGACCCCAGTTATGAGAGAAATGTGGTGGTTTGAATGATTTGTAGGAAAATACTTCAGGTGCAAAATTACTGCATTATTTAGAATGGTAAGAGTTGTTGGATATTGGCCTGATGCTTCAGAGTGGCAAATACCTGCTAAATGGTGAATAATGGAGTTCTTTATTATTGGCAACAAGCTATAGGGTGTTTTATTTTGGCAGACATTCTGGAGTAACTTAATGTGATTGGATGTCTGAAATGAGACTTATAATCCACTACTGAAGTTAAAGGAGCACTGTGATGCTTCACTCTAAGACGTGCTCTGCAGTTCTGTTTGGGTTTTTGGGTGGTTTTTGTTTGGGTGCTAGGGGAGGTCATTTGCAAGAAAAGAGTTAACAGTTGCAAAGACATTTTTTGGCAGAAGTCTGTTTGCTATCAGTATAAGTTTCCTTTATAGGGAAAGGTTTTTATTTTAACTACTTGGGATGTTAATGCAGCTGGTCCAGCTCGTATGTAACTTGAATTGCTCTGTAGAGATCAGTTTCTGATGCTGGAATGTTCAGCATCTGTGAGATCTCTCTAGTGCCTATAATTTTGATGGAAATTTTTTCAGCACATACTGCCTGTCCAAAGAAGAGGCTAATCTGGCTTCCTAGACTTCTATGACTGTTATACATTCTTTTTAAGGAAATGAAAATCTATGCTTTAAAACCCCAGTCCCACTGTTTCTGTGGTTATTTGAAGTTTCCTGGACTGAGGAATGGCATGCTATTTGTATTGATTTCAGTGCTACCTGTGTAGCTGGTAGCTGGGATTCTGCTCCTGAAAGGCAGAGCATGCATACCTGTATTAGCTTGTCTCAGGAAGAATGTGAAAGGTCGGTCTGCTTTGAAAATAGGTGTTCGAGATCTTTTCAGTAAGACCATTGCTGTAATGCAACAAAGAAAACATCAGTAAAATGTATATTTTTTTCTTTCCATCTTCCATACAGTGCCCTCAAGCACTGGCTAGTACCTTGACTTTTGAGTTGCTCCTCTGCTTTAAGACTAAAACAACAATTTTATCTAAGTGAGATCAGTCTGGCAAAATTAACATGTGAGGAGTTGTGAGACTACATGCAGGTGATTCGTGCTTATTTCAATGCTGAATGGTGTTCTGCCTGGCATTGGATCTCAGAGGTGATTTGTGTTGTCATCACATTCCTAACTCTGCTGAGATCATACCTATTCCCTTACCTGTTAGCCAGTTCCTAGCTATGCTCTTCTGGTGAAAAAGATAAGCAAGGCACAAATGTAGTTCCTTATCCAATTGGGAGACAAGCAGCAGAGAAATACCTACATCATCCTAGAATTTCTCTTGTCAGAACTCTCAACAAAATCTCAAGTATCCTCAACTCAGTTTATGACTGTCTTTCCTCTCTGTTGTGGGTTAATTATTCAATTAAATAAAGAGCTTTTAAGACTTATGATGGCTCAGCTATTATTAAAATACATCTTGTTTACATAAATTCTTTCTTTTAGCTATATAGTATTAAGAATACCTTGTCAAAAACTCCACCACTAAACCCACCAGATCTAGATTATTTTTGAACAGTTAAAACAATGGAACTAGTTTGAAAATTCATTTAAGACACAATAAAACTAGTTTAAGAAGGCACTATTTTGGTGCTTAAAAAAAAAAAAAGCTTAGCTTCAAGTCATCATGTGACTAGATCCAGAGCTTTTAAAGTAAACAATAAATGTAATTGCAGTTTTTAAAATTTGCTTGTCTGTCGGATTTTCGGCTGTTTAGATGGTCCGGGAAGGCCCGAGGTGGCCTTGGGCAGCCCGCGCTCCAAAGGACGAGAAGGGACTTCAGAACTTTTCTCGGTCTCGGTGTTTATTAAATGCTTATCTAAAAGATTTTCTCTGGGCCTGACAGAGTTCTGCTCAACAGTCAGCCATGGGCACACACTGAGAGCCCCTGGGGCGGCCACCTATCTTTATACTCGGAGTTACGTATACAATATTTATCATTTTTCTCCAATACCCTCTACCCTTATTAACCAGTGCACTTTTAGTAAGGTCCAATCTCAAAGTGCCAACATCACCACAGAAGATGGAGGCCAAGAGGAAGAAGGAGAAGGGCACGCCCCAATTCCTCCATCTTACTTCTCTAGACCCCCCTGTACAGAAACCTTAAACCCTGTATCTCACACTCCAATTAACTTATCCCTTCACCATTCACCCCGGTGAAATCCTCCTATCCTCATACTGATGTCATCTCCCATGTGGGATCAAAGTCCAGCCACCAGACATTTCTGGCAACATTCCAGGACTCCCGAGCCCCCCAGGGGTGGTCTTGGTCACCCTGCACCCCAGTCCTGAGAGGCTGAGATCCCACACTTGTCAGCTTGGTCTGACAGGAGTTAAGGGATGTTTTAGCATTGGTTTCAAGGGGATAAAGGTATTTTTCTCTTAGTTTTTCGTGTGTAACTGAAGTCACCTAAAAATATTTCTTTTGTATGGGCCTTACCACAAAGTTATTAAAAATATTACTGCTCTGATAGAGATTAAAACTGTTACAAAACTTAAAACTGTACAGCTCTGCAGAAGGGCTAACTTAGTTATGCCAGATGGGCTCTGCACACCCCCGTATGTACATGTTTGTCTTATTCAGGGCTGTTTATAGAGGAATACTGAATACATCAATTCAGGTGTGCTCAGGTTCCTTTTTGGCATTGCAGCTGTGGGATGTTGGAGCGCGGGGATGTGCAACAGTCTGGGCACCACAGTGAGATGCACTGCCATGCTCTCTACATGCCTCTTGAATTCCTCCCTGGGAGCAAGGAGGAGAAGTGATGGAGTGCCCTGGTCCCCAGCCAAGGACCCACCAGCACTTGTGGTGTGGAGCACATTTATCCTTGGTACAGCCCAGGGGAGCAGGAAGGTGAGATGTGGTTAATGGTGAATGAGTCATGTACTGACATGGCTGAGATTTTGCTCTGAGTCTCCCACTCACCCAGTCCCATCTGCTCATGTGGAAGTGGTCTGTTAGCAGGAGCTACTGCACATGAAGGTCACACTTCAAAGTATATAAGAATCAAGCTTGTCTGCATAATACTTGTCCATCATTACCATTAATGCTATCAAAGAAATTATCCTCAAATCCTATAACAGTTCAGGGGCTGTAGACAAAATATTACTAACCTTTTTTCATTTTTTATTCTTATGATCTGAACAAATAGATATTTAACCATCAGAAAAATAAGTGGTATATTTTCTCAAGCTGAATTTTCCCTGAACTGGCAAAGTTGTTTTTTTCATTTCAGCCATTACACATTAGTTGGACATCAAAAATTAAAGTTTCTTATGAGCAATTGCAAAGGTAAAATGGGAATGTGTTAAATACAAAAGTTTGTTAGGCATACGTGTGAATTCTACCATGCTTGTTTGTTTTGTTTTATATAAAAGACTAATAGTTGATTTTATAGTGGTAAGCTCCAGAAGGGAGAAGTTTGTCTAAGTGTTTGACTTACCTGTAGATCCTGATGCCTTTGTACCATCTTCTGTTACTTCAATCTCTGCTTTATGGATAGCTTCTGAAATATAAAGACTATCTTGCTCTGCAAAACCCCCAAAATTAAGAAGTTATTTTCTGCATTTCATTACAAACATATTTAAAAAAATAATTAGAATGCTTTTACTTTTTTTTTTTTTGTGCGGAATCTAAGGATCACATAACTTAAGTATTTCAGCCTTTGACTGTTCTCCCACTATATGGTTAGAGTGGATTGAATGCTGAATGGGAGTTACTAGTTTGAGAGGTCACCACTTTGTGGTGGAAGGCAAGGTTACATAGTGAGAATAGAAACTTTACAGAGTGAGGGCAATGAAAGAACTGAAGAACCCTTGGAAAGGAAAATGTAGAAAAAATGTTCTTCAGGAAGAAACAATGGAAGTGACATAAAATGAATCTTGGAAAAGAATTAATTTCAGAAAGACACTGAAGAGAGTGTTACAAGTCTGCTTTTCTCCAGCTGCCTGTATAAGGCAGAAAGCAGGAAAGGTAGAGAAGTTTCTTTTTTTTCTTGTCTGAATTCAAGGATCAAGTCCAACATGTAGGTCAAATCAAAGAAATGCTAAAAGAGAATTTTGTCTATTCAGAAAAACCGGGAGGGAATCAAGCAGGACAAAACTAAGGAGAGGAAGAATTTTAAAAAGTAGATAAATCTTAAACATTGTTCAGGGGGAAAAACAAGCTTTCAAGTCTAAAAAAGCTATTTCAGGTCTGAAATGAAGTAACACATTTATTTGCTAAATGTGATCTGAGTGTAAATATTTTTAAGTTTATCCTTCTGCTTCATACAGAAGAGGAAATGAAAACTTACCTATGAAAATTTACCTATTTTCCCCCCCAACTATCTATTGGTTAAGTAAATGATATATTTTCCTTGTGAACTCTGCCTTACATAACTCTTAGACCACATAGAACCCTACTGCTACAACAGGATGGTGTAAGGCTAGAACTAAAAAGGGTCTCAACATATCCTTTGTTCCATAACCCTGCCAGGGCAGGATCAAATACTTCTACAAACCTTATCCTGTATGCCAAACGCCAAAGGGAAGCTGGTAAATTATATTGTTTATGGAATTAATTTCCCCAAAGTATTTATCTTATTTAAATAGACATTAACTTTATAAAATACATCCTTGTGTAATTTATCAGTATATTAACATTTGTTTGCAATAAGCAAAGCAGCAGTGAGCAGTAACAAATTATTTTAATGTTCATCTCTGTGCAGGCTGAGATCTATACTGCAATGGAACATTGCTATGTTCAATTTTAAGAGCAGCATAAAAAACTCCATGAGTAATGTGCCTTCTGAGGTTCATCCCAGGAAAGCAACTTTTCTGTAAAAGCAGGTTTGTCTGAATTGGAGCAATTTCATTTATTCACTCACATGCACAAGAATGTGAGCTGCTTGCTGGGCAGCTGCACTCCCAAGTCTTTACTATGAGCAGAAATGACATAACTTGAAATATTTTGTTGCTGGAAGGAGTCAAAAAGAATAAATAATGTGGATTCTTTATTTTTCATTTAATATTAAATGGGGACAAATTTTCCAAGGAGCAGAGGAATTTAGCCATTACAACAGTATTTTAGCAAAGGGAAAGTATAACTTTGTATACTGATTACTGGATTAGCAAGACAATATAGCCTGGGCATAAACCAGTATTGTTTGCAGTGTCAGGACTTGGAATATCCATTTGTTGGACCAGCATCCCTCTCACTGTTAAATAACTATTTGAATACACAAACAGGAATGTAAGTTTTACTAAAGCATCCTAAATTTTTGAATAAATAGCCATTTTCCCAGGCCTACACTGTCTTGACAGTTTTAATCTTATAGACAAGAAAAAAGTAAGTTCAAGACCAAAACCAAACCTTTCCTTTTCAGGTTCCTCTTTCCTAGAAAACAACTCAAAATACAATTGCAGTTAAGTGTGAATTGTGCTTTAGAGTTTCACAGATAAAGAAGTACAATCAATTCAGAAGAGCCAGGCAAGTCTAACAAATCATTCAAATGTAAGAATCTGCAACTATTGGGTCAAGGGTCATTTTGTATTCAGTCAAGCCTCTTACCTGAAATGCCTTTAAAATTAGCAGTGATGGGATCAAATGCATCTCTAATTCCCAAGGCAGAAAGAACTGTCTTTAGGTCAAAAAGGCTTTGAATACTGAACCTGAAATTAATATGATAGACTTTATTTAAATGCAGGATTTGTAGAGTTTTGTAGAATTAAACGCCATTAACAGATACAATTTATTTCAAGCCTTTGCATTTCATCCATCTCTTCCTGTATGAGCCCAGTGCATTGTCTGATGGTGTGTTTGCAGAAAAGTAGCTCACTTTCACCTGAAGCCATTAACAGAAGGAATCCCTCTGTTGCAATCAGATTGCTACTAAGTCTTCTTGACATGTGAATTCTGCATTTTCACGAAGTGATCTCTTTCTAATATTATTTTTGGCTATAGCAAATGGCCCTTGGAAATATTTCCCAAAAATTAGTTTGAAGAAAACAAATATAAATGTCCACACTGGTTTTCAGTGCTCTGTTAATGTGATGAATATGTTGTAGGGGATGTGTGTAATGAAGCCCTTCCATACTAATCCATACAATGGATATAGTCACATAAACCCTTCTGTGCCTAATTTCCTCCTGCTATGCAATTTCTCTGGAGTAGATGACAGAAAATACCTCCAGCATAGGTGTTTGCTAAAACAACAACTGACTAAAGTGGAAAATGGATGAGTGAAACCTGCTTTGTGCATGGAAAGATGGTTATGGCTGCTGGAGGGGGGCCAAGCTCTTTGTCCCATGCTTTTTTAGTACTCTGGTGAGTTTAAGAAAGACAAAATAGCGTGTCTTTAGGAGGTTATATGTTTATTCTTCCTTAAACAAAAAGAAAAATGAGTGTGGGAAAGGTCTAGCAACATTTATCTGGTTTAGATCCTTAAAGGATTTATACCCGAAACAAATTGTAAGTAAAAGCTGTAGGATCAACTGAAATACTTGGGGTTTTTTTGAACAGTACAGAGTGTAACCAGAAAGTCTTGTCATTCCTGGCTCACCTCTTTTGTGGTTTAAGAAAGGGTTAGGGCATCTCTGATCATGTGATGAATAATGAAACCAAAAGCATGTAATTTGATTTTGCTAACACACTGCTTGTGTCAGCACTGGTCACATGGAATTCTGACAGCTAAAGTAGTGAATCCAATGTGCTAACATTGCTTACCTAGGCAGAAAAATGTCCATCTTTGTTCTCTTCAAGCTGTTGGCCCAGAGGGTTATGGTTTTGGCAGAAAGGTGAGACTCAATCTGGGACAAAGGTGTTCTTTTGTGGCTGGGAAGCACTAGGAACATGCTGAGTTTCTCTCCCAGGTAGGGTAACTCGACCACGCTGAAAGCCTCCAGAGCTGCAGTCTGGAACTGGCCTGTGGGTGGGCAAAGAGAGATTTTATTTCATCATTCAAGTGGGAAGAAAACCCTGAACCCACAACCCATGCTGGGGTCAGCAGGCAGTTCAGAGCAGCTGTGGTAGGATGTAGGGAGTGGTTTCCAGCTCTTGGGCTCCTGCAGCCAGTTCAGGCTGCTGTGAACTCACCCTGAGTGTGTCAGACACAGATACCTTGGCAGACCAGTGCCACTGATAGCACCTGCAGAAACACCTCAACAGAGCATGGGTATTTTATTACTGTTCCATATAACAGCTGTCCTGCTTGCTCAGTTTGGGGATAAAAAACCCAGAACTACCAAGGCAATGACAGCAACTATGATGACTCTTCCCATAATGTATATTCTTTGAATGAACTTACAATTTTACCGTATTTTACCTAAAATTTTACTACAACAGATAGGAATTATGAAAATAAAATGCAGTGTCTAGCTGATTAATTGAAACCTACTTTGGCTCGTGTTTTCATCTTTACTACCTTTAAAAATCTATTTTAATCTTATTTCAATAAAAAGATAGTTCTATTAATCAAGAGCTAGTGTATGCTTATTTAAGCATTAACTATTTTTATTTAAGCACCAAATTTATAATTTTTTAAAATCTAGGCACAGAGACTTATCACAGTCAGATGAAGGTCATAAAAAGTAGTCTCAAAAGTAAAAGAGAGAGAAAAAGCTGGAGAGCTTCCAAACTTGCAAATAGTTTTACAGCAATTTGTAACAGCCATTTAAAAGTACCATTTTCATCCCATATTCCAAAAAAAACCCCAATTAATCCAGGCATTTCTAATGGATTCTGTTATACAATAGAACAGATTTGGCTGTCAGAATTTTGCTTCCTTATTTTTTCATCTAAGAATCCAGTAAGTAGCATTTCAGGAACACTCAGCAATAGTTAGTGGGCCAGAAGTTAAATACAACTTAAGTAAAAAGGCACAAGTGAAAGTCCTACTGCCTTTACTGCAGGCAATCCAAAATATTGAACGTACACCTCCTTCACTCAGCTGTAGCTGTTGTATCTTCAAGAGGAGATGCTCACACTCTTTGAGGCAGTGGTTGTAAATAACTGTGTATGGGTAGCTCATGTTCATAATACCTAAATATTTGTCAATAAATACACAGCTATAGGATGTCTCAAATATTTTGTGTACAGTGTTTGTTAGATTTGCAGATATGGACTAGAAAGGATTCATTAAGTGTTGATTGTTCTGCTAGATTAAATTTTAGGCTCTTAGCCCTCCTGCCTTGCAATCTGGAGAGAGAATTGCTCTGTTAAAACCAACTCCCAGCATGTGGATCATTTGCTGGGAAAAGATGTTCTGGTTTTTAATGGGCAGGCACGGAAGTTTATATTTGCAGTGCACTGGACATGAGTGATATAATTTGTTGGCATGCTGGTATTTTGATGTCAGCACATTCTGCACAAAGGTTATACAGTCCTTATTTATTAATTAGAAAGAAAATCAAAGACTTGAGATTATTGAGTCAGAACACTTAGTGTTTGTTGCTTGAAGTAATTTTGAGCATCCCATAAGGATTACACATATGCTAAATTAGAATTCAAACGTTGTCAACAAATTGCTTGGAAAAATGAATATGTAAAATGGTTGTGGTGTTTAAGAAGTGTGTGTGAACAGTAATGTTGACATTTTCTTAGAGCAGTCTTACTTGTCCCCAGGCTGGTTTGTTCTGTTTGGCAATGTTAAAAGGATAAACAATGTTGTAAATGCTGCAATTGATAACAGGCCACAGCTTATCTTTCTCACTCTGTGTTTTGGATCCTGGTGGGACACAGCTGCTATCATTTAATAATGAAGGACAGTCATCTCAGTCCTCTCTTTAGTTGTACTGAGCCAGTGTTTTGCATTAATTTTAAACTGATTTGTTAGAAATGTTTCTGGATTTTTAGTGACAATGATTGAATCGGCCCAATCAAATCTGACAACCAGCAAATTTTAAATGATCCCTTCTATTTCAGCTTTGCTCAAAAGTCTCTCCAGCTGCAAAGAGCTCACACATTTCAGCCTGGATGAAAGGTAATCCAAATATTTTGTCTTTCTTTTTCTGTGCAAAAATGTAGTGCTCTAGCTACCTACTTAAGGATGATAGGATGGAGTACCTTGTGTTTTGGCAAGTGGTCAAAAGTGCACGACAAATTATTTCACATCAACTTTGCAAGGACTCTGGAGCAAATATATGGTCAGAGAATGCAGCTCAGCTGTGGAACTCCTGGTAATTGGCTTTACCTGAGATCTCTGCTTGTACAAGCAACAGCAGCATCCTGCCTTCTGTCATTTAATAATCTGAGGCCTTAATGACCACCCCAGAATATGAGAAGAACTTGGATGTGGAATTGCAAATGAGTCAGCAAAGATTTTCAATAGCCTGATGATTCAGTTTTTTCCCCATGACTAGGGAGCAGGAGTACATTTGTAAGAAAAAGAAGGCAATCTCAGAAACTTTAGGGGTTTGAGGGGTTTTAGGACACTCTGGAGAAAAGGATAATCAGGTCACAGAGAGAGATAGAAAGTTAAATAAATTGCAATATCATGTAGACTGGTAAACAAAGTTATAAACATTTTTGGCTTGTTAACTAATTTGATTAAAAAGCATGGATTCAGCCATCTAATTTTAGGTAAAACATGAAATATTGTTTCATTGTGCCACTATTTACAGGTAGAAATGGTGGCACTTAGAACCAGAAAGGCAAGGCAGCAAGCAACCACTTGAAGGGGAAACTACAATAAGCAAAGGTACAAGAGGTTGAAAAGGGTCACTAGTAGCTTTCCAAAGTATTGTCAATGCTCAAGACTTTTATCAAAGACAAACAGTGAGATGTTTGTCATGTTTGCCATGAAGACTGGAGTGATGGAAACAAAATGGTGGGTCAAAAACACACAAAAAATTTATATACCTCTGGAGATTTCCCTCCCCCTGATTTACTTAGGAAAAAGTGCCAAAAGGAAAAAGGCCCTGGTGGGGCCAACCTTGTGTAACCACCCTGAGCCAGTTCTGCAATACACTACATGAAGTGTTTTTATCAAGACATAGAAACTGTGAAAGCATTTTATCAAGCATGTGTATGCCCTCATTGAGAGTTTTGTGTACATTTCTGGTCATTTTCAAGAAAGATTAATTTAAATTGGAAAAGTTAAAAAATAGAACTAGTAGAGAATTTGAGCATTTGGTTTTTGAATAGTTTAGAAAAGCCTGGCATCTTCTTCTTAGCTATTAGGAAATTGAGAGAAAACTTGGTGACTTGCAATTACATTTGGGAGTAAATATCAAAGCTGAGGAGAAGCTATTTAACTTAAAGGATAAATCAGTCAGGATGTTAAGAGATATAAATCTGTCTTCAAAAAAAATTAGATTTGGAATTTGGACAGTTTTTACCCAAGTGCAGTTCTGAAATTTAGAGTAGGAGGGAAAAGAGCTTTTTATATTTTGAAAGAGATTGTGTAGCTAACTGGCATAATTCCTGGTGGCAGAAAATTAAGCCTGCAGCATGAGTCCTTCTGTCAGCAACCCACATACATCAAATCTTTGAAAGTAGCCTACACTGTATTCATATATTATACAAATAAAAGTTTGACCTATATTTATACTGTTTTAAGCTCATGCTGAGATCATCCACTGATTTGGTATACATGACATAAGAATTTATTTTCTTTTTCTAGAATTTGTCCCTCAAGATCTGCAGTTTTTCCCTTAAGACTTGGAGACAGGCTGTGACCACATCTGCAGGTCTGCAGTGCTGGTGCTCCTGGTTATGCTCTACTCCCTCTGGTGCTCACACATTCAAGGGGCGGTGATTTGGCTGAGGGGCCAGGAAATTTATTACCCAGCAAATCAAATTGGTAGGGGCTTGATATAATTTTAGTCCTAATTGCCCCTCTGTCATGGGGTCAGATGTGATTCCTACTGTAGCCCCTTCCTAGCCAGCTTTATTTAACCAGCTCCATGCTATTGTAAAGGACTTTGTATACTGCAGTGTGTCAGTCAGTCATCTTAGTCATCAGTCAGTCATCCCTCAGTCTCCTTCCTTCCTTCCTTCCTTCCTTCCTTCCTTCCTTCCTTCCTTCCTTCCTTCCTTCCTTCCTTCCTTCCTTCCTTCCTTCCTTCCTTCCTTCCTTCCTTCTTTCCTTCTTTCCTTTCTCTCTCTCTTTCTCTTTCTTCCTTCCTTCCTTTCTCTCTCTCTTTCTCTCTCTTTCTTTCTTTCTTTCTTTCTTTCTTTCTTTCTTTCTTTCTTTCTTTCTTTCTTTCTTTCTTTCTTTCTTTCTTTCTTTCTTTCTTTCTTTCTTTCTCTTTCTTTCTTTCTTTCTTTCTTTCTTTCTTTCTTTCTTTCTTTCTTTCTTTCTTTCTTTCTTTCTCTCTCTTTCTTTCTCTCTCTCTCTCTCTCTCTCTCTCTCTTTCTCTCTCTTTCTCCTGGGACAATGTATCGGTGCCTTTTGACTGTTTCCTACAGCTGACAAGTTTGTTATGGAGTAGTGGGAGGTGTTGGTCTATGAGGGATGGGACAGTAGATATTTTAGGAACCATTTTGATCCCAGGATCTGTTTTATTATTGCCTGGAATTATGAGGAGTCAATTTGGTCACCTGGGTGGTCTTTTAATTTGATGGGACCTCTTCTGAGACACTCTCCAAGCTGGGAAAACAATCCATCTTAGTGTGGTATCTGTGGAAATGAAATAAATCTGTTCCATATTGCACAGTAGATCAAATCTGGATCAAGGACAGTTACCATAGTTAACTTCAGCTGTGTGGTGCATGGTAGGCACTTTCAGGGTCGAGCCCTCTGGCGTTGTAAAAGGCAACATCTGGGAATCCATGAAGGAAAACTTCTTTTGCCACGCGCTTCTGAAGTACAGGGTGCTCACCAGGGTGACCTGGCTGAGCGATGACCCAGCACTCTCCGGTGCCATCCCATGTATATCCCCATCTGCATGGAAAAGAGACAAGGCAGGGGGACACATGCAGTCCTACGTGCCCAGGTCTGTGTGACTAAATAAAGCAAGCTGAGACCACTCTCCACCCCTAAGGCCTAGAGGCACAACTCACAAGGCACTGCTCACCCTCTACCTTCCCCTCCCCAGTTACACATGCACCTCCCTGGGGCTGCCTGTTGGTCCATGCTCTCCTCAGAGTTGAGATTGAGCTGGCCAGTGCTTTTATTCCCCACTGAGATTTTTTAAACTCAGAATCTGACTGCTGAGCTTATGCCCCTATGTGTCCCCTGTAGCACCATGAAAGCATTCAGTGCCATGAATACGGTCCAAGGGAAATTTGGCTGTTCCTAATTAACACTGAGAACACTGCAAATGATTGCCTTTTTAAAAATTAAGGGAACAAGAAAAAGTGGTTAGCAGCTTGACACTGCTTATGGATTCAGACCTATTCCAGCTCTTTCTTCACATTACAGATGAGTGTTAGCACAAGAATTAGGTTTCCTGCCTTTCAGCCTTGCTTTGGGCAACATGGAGTGTGGCAAAAATCTTTATGCTTGGTTAAAATCTACTTCTCCCATTACTCTTATTTTACATTTCATTGGTGTGCAACCATTTCTGTGGGTCCCTATGATACCTGCAAGGTCAGTGGTGATCCACTCCTGTGTATGGGTGGTGTTGCAGTCGGTGAGGTTGGTTTGGAGCAGGCTGCTGTTGGCCCAGCGCGTGGCACGCTCGGCAAAGTCAGGCAAGAGCTGCACGCCTGCATCCACAAGGAGGGAACATCCCAGCTGGACCACTGTGCCTTGGCTGGGGTCAGTCTCTGCTTCATCCACCGTGTGCATGAAATCCTGCACGCTTTGATCTGCCAGGCAAGAGAGAAACTGTAATTGTGCTGAGGCTAAGGGCAGCAGGGATTGCCCCAGAGCTCTGCAGCTCTCAGCTCCACTGCTGACACCGGTGTCCTCTGACTCTTAAACCCCCATAACAACTGGAGCACTCTTGACTTTGTGGAGCATTCCTGTCAAGCACTGCTGCCACGGGCAGTGATGCACTGGGCATTGGAAAGCTCTCTTCATGTGTCTGTAGAAATCACCCCAGTGTGGAAGTGCCAAGTGGCAGATCTCATGCCAGGCTCACAGTTGTATGCAGACACAGTTCATAAGGTAGTTATTCTTTCTTGGCCACTCTCTGAGTTCCCACCATTGAGGTCTAGTGCCTCTGGCCATGACTGGCTGAGCTGCCAATGCCACAACTCTGCTATCTCGTTCTCCTGACCTTATCCACCTATCCCAGAAAAAGCATTTCTCTGATGGCCCTTCTGCCACCCTTGGCCCTTAGATGTTGTTTGATTTCTTGAAGGATGGTGTCCCAAACTGCCCCAGTATTGCTGATGAGCCCTGGCTAAACTGAGCTGATAAGTTGCTTCATGTGTTATAAGTGACTCCTTTATTTATACAGCCCACAACAGTGGGCTTTTTTCTTTTTTAAAGAAAACATAGTCTGAGTTGTAAAGTTCTTGTGTGTCTTGCATTAGTATGGGAGCACTTGGTGAGCTCTCTGAAAGATGTGAGAAGTCAAAGATGGTAAATTAGAGGCAGAGATGAATGTGAGGAGTGGTATCCCAAGCTTGTGACTTCACCACGGTGCTTAGCTAACCAAAGTCGCAAATTCTAGCTTGGACAACAGCTCAAAATTGCTTTAATTAAACAGCAAGGAGAAATAATTTTAAAGCATGTCATTTTGTCTGTTCTATCTAGAAATATATCCCATTATACATTGTTTTTGTTAGTACTAGCATAAAGGTGAACAAATTTTCCAAACATTGAGAGAAGTTTACAAGTGCATCTAGGAGCAGATTCTCTGTGAGCAGTGAACGAACCATTGATGTTTTCATTGTTTTCAGCCTGCTAAGGTTTTAACCATATCCTTCATAATTGGTTAGGACAGACCAACATAAACATTAATGCAAATCTACTGGAAGAAAGGAATTTTCTCATATATGCATGCATTCACAGTTTGTGTTTATTCATCTTATAGAAAATTTCATCTAAGCATTTAATTTATTTATTTGATTTAGACCATTTGAGGAAGTAGTTTCCTTCCCTCTTACTGGAAATACACTGTATACCAATAACAATAGATCCCATCCTACTTTATTTTCACATTCATGCATTAACATTGCTGAAAGCCAAAGCTCATGTGGTTTATGCCACAGCTCAAATGGAGATAAAATGTCTGCTTGCCATGATGTGCCACATGAGAAGAAAAGAGCATAAAAGAGCTAGCAGGTCATTAACAGCCCCTGCACTTCTCTGTTAAATTTTCTCTAAAGGTCTGTGCTTGAATTTCACTTTGAAATGTTATTCTGTAAGGTCCTTTCATAATAACTGATCCCGTAATGACCAGAAGTGTCAAGCAAGGTATAATCCTTGTATGCATTAATATTGTTTAGGAATTGAATTTACAAAAATAGGAGTCAGTAGGCAAGACTTTATTATATCAGCTGCTCATAATTTAGATGCACTGTCCCTGTGTCAGTACATGCAGCTGTATCTGTATGGATCAGCCAGAGTTAGCTGTCACTGCTGTGCTGGGGTTGAATATCAATGCTGCTCAGAATGGGGCTGGTGACTGAGGCAGGTTACTGAGGCACAGGACAATGAAATTGCTGTGGGTTTTAGTTTTCATGCCCTGAAGGTAAATTTTACGCTGAGAAAAAGCAGTGTTATCTCTATACATAAGTATTGTATGTAAGCTGCAAATTTTGAAGATGAGGCAGTCATCTGCTTTTCATAAACATTCTGCCCATAATGTAAAATAGTTTTTGACATGTGATTTGAGATGGTAGGACAATCCAGAGCTAAAATGAAAACAGCATCCTTAAATTCAGCTGACTTAATGCTGGATTTAAAGACATCTGTCTTTCCCATATCCCTTCCAAATTCCCAGTGAGTTTTATATTTTAGCCTGCTTTCAGGGAAAGATGCAATTGCACCATCCATCTGTCAACGTATATCTCAGTCTGCCAGTCTCCTTCTGATAACTTTTCATCTTTTTGGCCAATTGTAATAGTGTTAGAAAAGTCTTAAATATAATTCAGCTTCTATAGGTTTCATGAGATTTTTTAGTGGGATAGGAGAGAAAACCACTGTTCTCTGCCTGGCAGTTCTTTGCAGAGCACACAAAGGAGACCAGGACAGAGTGGACACAATGGACCTCTGGCAAACCTGGAGTAATTCTGCTGCTCAGAGAAGTAGCTTTACTAGATGTAGCTGTATTTTGTGTCATAAGAGAGTAAGTACTGATTCAGAAAAAAGAGGAATAATAACCTGTTTGTCAACTACTCCCTTGAGTTTCCTTTGTCCATCTGATACCTGGCTGTCAAAGACAGAGAAAACTACATCTTGCAGTGAGAGAGAAAGCAGAAGTTTAATATGATGTGTGCAATTCCTGTCACCTTTGTAAAGCTGTAACTTTATTACAAAAAGTAAGACAATAACGATTTTTTTAAAGTACATTACCATGAATGCTGTATCCTAGGACATCTTGCAGCTCTGTAAAGGTATTTCCTTGAGCTCCAAACTGCAGCAGCTCCAAAGAAACAGCCACACTTGCTGGAGAGACTACGAGATTGGTCCTGTTCTCTGCTTCAGACACCTGCCGGTAGAGACTCATGGCAAATTCAGTCTTCAGCTCTCTCAGCTCATCATAGGAGATGCAGCTTCCCTTGGCTGTGCAGCAAGCAGACAGGATGAATGCAGAGAATAAAATGGGCAACATGAAGATGAGCTGGGAGCAGTCTCCACCAGCTAATACCTGCAATTAATGACATGGATGTATTTAGAAAAGCAATAGGCTGAGCTGGCAGAGGAGCTTTCCATCAGTGTTGAGATGTCACTTGCAATAGTAATGATAATTGTTAAAATACTTGTCCAGGTCTACTCAGTAGCTACTGACATTAAAAAAATAAAAAAGAAAAAGAAAAGAAAATACATATGTACGGACGTGCTGATGACTCTGTTGACTAACAAGAACTGAATTTTCCAGAATGCTGTAGCATGTAATATGGTATTCCATTACAGAGCCTGGAGACACACAGTCTCTTGGTTAAAAATTAGCTACCTGCACACATGATGGGACACCTCAGTGCAATCTCCATGCTGCTGAGCTCCTTTCTGTCCCCAGCAGAAGGGGGGTCACACCCAGCACTCCCAGAAGGAAGGCCACCCCTTGTGAAGTGCAGAAATCTAATTGGAGCCTCCAGGCTGGGCTTTGGATGCAAGTTTGCAAAAGGCTGGCTTCAAATTTCTCCCCCAGATATTCCTTCTGTGAAATTTATGCCAGTGAAAGAAAAGGTGGTATTTGCAAAAGGCTCCAGTGCTTGCAACACAAAATCATCACATCAGATTTTTATGGGAAATCAAGCACTGGTCAACGTTCTATTAAGAGACACTTAGATTCATATTAAAGGAATAATGTTAAAATGAGAGAATAGTTTTCCTTACAGAATTCCACATTTGAAGATTGTATGCAAGTATATTTTAAAAATTACTGCACCTTCTTTCACCTCAGGATTTCCTACAAATCTTTCTCCATGCCCTTTGCTCTAGAGAGCACCTCTAATGCTTTGTATTTACTCACAGTTAGCTCTGTTAAATTGTCTTGCCTTTCTGTGTCCTTCTGGGTGCCTGAATGGAAGCTGCCTATGAAGGTCTTGTCTCCTTCTTTAATAGGTAGTGGAGCAAGGACTAAGTCATGAGACTGCATTTAAAGGGATAGTCAGTGATCAGAGTCTCTGTCGGCGATGTCTGTACCACTCTGTCCAAATTCCTGTAGGCTACGAGCTCTATGGAGAGCCAGGCAAAGCAGCATGCCACTGACCAGCAAATCCAAGGCAAGGAACAAAAAGGTACACATGGACAGAGAGTCAGCAACTTCCTTGCAAGCCCTGCTCGAGCCTCATGAGGCTTGTGACCTGCTGGTACCGAGCAAGGCATCTCCTATCTCTCTTCCCACCCCCCTCCTCCTTTTATATGAATTCCATTGATTCCTCTGCCACAAAGGGGAAGAGAAAGGGCTCTCTGTGTACCAGGCACACAGCTAATTTTTTTTACCCCCACTTTGAAACCTTATTCAGAAATCCCGTGCAATTAAAATGTCTTTATTTCCCTTTGTTTTTAATTAATGCTATCCGAAAAAGCAAGATTTTCTTTCACTCTTTAGTTTCCAGAAAGAAAGCAACAACAAAGTGCTGCACCTGAAGGAGAGCAAATGAGGAAGGGGCCACTTTGAATGGACCAGAAGCAGAAGAGCTGTGGTTGTGACTGCTTTAAAAGCAGTTGCAGTTGTTCATGGCTTTCTTTGTGTGCTGAGATCAAATCAGGCTCATCATATTCACAGGTTCAGCCTCACAGCCTCACAATGCCACCTAAGACAAGCAAGATTTGACTTAAAAATTAATGAACAACTGCAACTTATTGATCTTCAGAGTTTGGTGTTGTACACTTGGCCATTTCACAATATACATTCTTGTTGCAAGTGGGAAAGAAGACATTGGGAAAAGGGCATTGCAATCAAGCAATAATTCAGGTGCTGCTGCTTCACTCTTAGCTGGGAATGAGCAGCCACACAATGGAATCACAGCCCAAGTGAGAATGAAGCAGTGGGCCTCTCTTATTCTCTTCTTGTGCTGTTCCTCTCTCTCTGCTGTATGGAGAATGTGCCAGAATAGATGCAGACACTGGGGTCTGCTTCAGGATCCTGGGATTTAGAGCACATTCCTGCAAGAACTGGTGAGATGCAACAGCTTGATCAGTCACAGTCTAATACAACAGGCAGAAATGTAATTTTGCCACAGATTTCAATATGGCAGTACCTTCAGGCTGTAAATTACATTTGGGCTTAGGGGTTTGGCTGAATGAAGACCTCTCTGCTGAAGCTATCATTAACAGTTTCCACTGGAGTGGAGATGTATTCAGAGGGAATGAAACAGAGGCCACCAAGTGATTTCTCAAAGGGCTCAGAGCTGTCAATAGATAAATTAGCTCTGGTCATTGGTGAGGACTGTACACTGGATTTGATGTGGTGTTCCCAGAGGCTCTGGACCTGAAAAGACATTTCTTTGCCCTTCTTGATACTCCTCTGTGGATTTATTAAGATTTAAATGAAAGCTGGGGAACCCCTGAAGGTTTTAGGAATTACTGCCTAAAAATAACATTCAGTTCCCACTTCGCAAAAATGTTGCTATTCAGATTTGGGGTATGTATTTATGGAAGACATAATTGAAAGCTAGACCTGGTAAAATGTGGTGTAAGACAGCATAGTTTCAGTGGGAAAGGGAAAAAATTGTCCTGGGTCTTGTCTCATCACAAAGGAGACTTAGAAATGGGAGTGTTTGCTTCAAATCTTTCCTGTCTGCAACTGTTTTAGGAAAGGAAAGCTGTGGAGGACTCTTTCCAGCAAGAACAGTGTTTATAGAAAAGCAGGACTTAAGAAAACTAAAACTGGATCAACATGGTTCAAAGCAACCATGAGGAATAAGAAATATGTTTATATATGACAAATAGAGAAGAAATCCACTGGTGAATGATAAGAAAGTTAGGAGGCAGTGGAGTAAGAAAGAATAAGAGTCAGAGAAATTAGCTGTGGCTAAAAAATAAGTGTAGAAGCCTGGGGAAGGTTATGAACATTTATCATAGTCAAGGTCAAAACCAAAATTCTCATGCCTGTTCAGTTTTGCAGCCTAAGTTCAAATTTCCCTGTGCCAGACTGGGATCCACAATAGAGAACTGGCCGTCCAAGGAGAAGCCAGTGCCGCATCAGGGTGAGTCTGAAAACTGAGGTTGCCCTGTGAGCCCAGGCAGCCAGAAACTGAGCTGTGCAAGGTAGGGTAGTTCAGGGGGGGGGCTGCAAATTACATAGGCCAATTACAGAAATTCCCTATCAGAAATAGAGGGGTCTTGGACCTACAGAAGTGTTAGAGTTGGGCTGCTGTGGAGAAAGGGAGTTTCTGTCTCCTTTAAGGACATTTGTTTAGAGCCTTCATACTCGCCTGTGTCCTAGTTTGGGCATCACAGCCTTCTTTGAGTCTTCATCTGGTTCTGCATCACAAGGTACTGAGAAAGTACTGATAAAATTTCTGGCAATATTTTTGTTTTTAAGATGCTGAAAATGCATTTTAAAAGGTATGCAATTGACTTGTCCCCAAGATAACACTTCAAAGGCAGGAAGGGGCAGAGGTAGCATCTGTATTTTGAGAAGTGCTTCTTCACATTGCAATAACTTTGACTGACTGTGAGGGAAGTGGGGAATGACACAAACCGAGGATGTCTGGAGAAAACACAGCACAAGGAGTGTGTGGGTAGCATTCTGGAGCACAGTGTCTCTGTGGAGCTCCTCTGAGCTTCCACAGGAGCAGCTGTGAGAGCTTCACAGGGAGCCCAGCCTCTCTGTTCACCCACTAAGCAGAGCAAACCAGCACTCTTTGAGAGGGAAGACAGCAAAGAGCTTCCTGACGTGTGAACACCTCCCCACACAGAGAGCCAAACTGGTGGAGAGCACTGGAAAGAAGCCATAAGTGGTGGCTGCATTCCATGATGGATTAGATCACGTCTGTGCCTGCAGCATGCCACTGCTGTTCCTGCACAGCCCCTCGGTGTCCCCCTGTGTGACCACAGTGATGGGCAAGGGGACAGACTGCTGACCATCCCCTGCTGCTCAGCACTGACAGGGCCATCACAGGCAGCCCTGCAATGTCTGGTGTGAGAAATGTGCAGAAGTGGAAAAGAAGGATGAGGGAAAACGAAACAGAGATAGAGCTGTCCTCCAGAATTACATCTTCAAGGTCTTCATGGCCAGATTCTGCTCTCAGGTACAGGGGTGTAAATGCAAACCATTGGCACAAACTTGGGGTCCTTGAGCAAACGAAGAGCTGCTGGGGGGCTGTGGGCTGGCAGACTCCTCTGGGAGACAGGGGGCTCCATGACTCTGGGAAACAGACTCAGGGTGGAGCCTCTGTGATGGTGGTGGTGGTGGCAACAGGGAGGAAGGTCAGGACCTTATTAGCCCTGGAAGCAGTCAGAAGTCACAGGACTGAAATGAGAAACCAGAGGGAAAGGCACAGCCTGCATGGGCACAACTGGCAAAGAAAGATTTCTTTGGAAACCCACAATCAATTTTTTCTCACAGCAGACTGGAGTTTTTTCTGATTTATCAGTGTTCTGAGAAAACTGAGCCCTAGTTCGGTGTGGCTGCTGAGAGGAAAAGGAGAGCTGTTCTGCTTTGGGTTCTGGCCAGTTTGTGCTTCTGTTGCGTGCACTTCACACAGTGATCTGGAGTAGAATTTAGTCCAGGGAAAGGCTGGAAGAGAAAAATATGAGAGAACCAGTAAGAAGCAGGTTTTCCTCTTCAGAACTCTCCTGTTAGTTTTTCTGTGTCAGGTCAGTCTCCTGCAGTCTTCCTTTCACTCTAGCACAACCCCATTATCAGCAGGACCTCTTCACAAATGAGAACAGAATTTTACCTTCTATCTGCATCTGATTTTTGTGTGCTAGCTCTCCTTAACACATAGAATAACCCTAGGGAAATTAAACTGGATCCAAACCAACTTCCCTCCTGCTTACATCTCTCCTCCAGGAGTGAGCCTGCACTGCAAGATGCCAGCACGTTTGCTCAGTCAGGAAGGTGGTACTGCTGAATCTCGGGATGAGAAAAACTGGCATCATCATCATTTCATACAGAGCTTATTCTGTGGGGAGGCAGATGGCTGTGGAGCCACAAAACACCCAGATGAGCAAATGCAAGTGAATTTGTTTACTGCTGTCCTCATGCCATGTAAAAGCACTGCCTCTGCCTCCCACTGGCGTGTGAGGACAAAACTGGCTCTTCAAAGGGTGACCACTTCAGAGGGTTGCTCCCAAAGGAGAAATCCATGTGCTCAGCAATGTGTCTGGGTTTGAGCAGATGAACTTGGTGCCAGTCTGGACCTCCTGGGGAGGTCATACAGTGTAGAGTACCACGATGGAATCCATTCTGCTGAAGCCCCCAGATCACTTCCCTCCTGGCCTGCTCCAGGTGAAAAGGAGTGCTCTTAGCAGCAATGAAGGCTTTTTGGCAGCTCTACAGGAGGAGGTAATCTCCCTGCCCATGGCTGCAGGCTGGGTAGCAGAGGAGCAGTGGCAAAGGCTGGCTATGACCAAAGTGTGCATACTTGGTTCCCAGTCCTCTTCAACCCCTGTGGGTCTAAACCGTAAATGTAACATTTTGGTGGGTTCATTTTCCTCTATCTCTTAAAACTCCAAGTGGAATAACAGAGTAGAGGTTTCACAGCACCACCCTGCCCAGAATTTCCTGTCCTGAGAGATGCCCAAGGGAACACCTGAAGGACAGGTTGATGACAGAGGCCTGGGATCCAGCCTTGGGCCAGGCCATGCCACAGGAGCTTTTGAGCTGAGTATGGGAATAAACGAGATCTGCACTTTTCCTGGGGGCAGTTCTGAAGACAGCCAGTGACAGCAACCAAAAACTGAGCCAGGCAGTAAATTAATAAGTGGTGTGAGAAATTGGTGCTGGGGTTAAGTTCAAGTTTGCAGGGTAGGTGTTTCTAACACGTTGTGTGATGTCTTCTGCCGTGGGAAGAGCAGTACCTTTCTCTGGTGTGAAGCAAAGCAAAGCAAACAGGAGCTCCACTGCCACTGGATGAGGTTAATGCCATAACACTGATGAAATGACAGCTGTTCCACACACAGAAGTGTAGGCTGAATAAGAGC